AATAATAATAATAAACAATTATATATATATATATATATATATATATATATGTTTGTTTGTATATTTAAAACTTGAAATATGAATACTTTTTTAAACTTTCATTAAAAACGGCTTCAAAAGTTTTAAAATATTAAACCAACGTGGAGAAACATGCAGAAAAATAAATTAAACAGGAAATTGAATACTTAAGGCAAGGCAAGATTAGTTGAGAATATGCCATTTTTTATTATTATGATATTTAAAAGAAACATTTAAACAAATAAACATAAGTTATAACTATATTAAAATTATATATTTATAAACCTTAATGAAAATATTAAGATGTATTTGATGGTTACACCACATGCCATTTTTACAGTTATTTAAAACAAATGTTTTTCAAAAACATAGATTTACTAAGTATTTGGCACACTTATCCTTAAACCAGTTTGTCCTTTTCTTTATCTCAGACACTTTTTGTGTTTTTAAAAAAACAGCATGAGAATTAGTAATGCAGATAAATAACACAGTAAATAAATTAAATGAGTTAAAGGATAGCCTATACCTTCTGGGCCAAGATTTCCAGTGTTGCTTTTATTGAGCAATTATTTACAGGAAAAAGTATCTTGTATCTAAATATTTTCACCTATAGATCAGAAAACAGCCATACATTATGCAAATGTGTCTGTGTTGGCTTCTTCCTGCAGGGTTCATGTCACGTCTTGATTACAGTGTGTGTTCAGTGCAGAACGTCTGGTCAGACACACTCATGTCGAAGGCCTATACTTGTCTTCTGCGCTCAGTCTGTCCTCACAAATTGCTTTGGCTAACCGAGAAACATCTGTGTGTGTGTGTGTGTGTGTGTGTGTGTGTGTGTGTGTGTGTGTGTTACCTTGGAGACAAGGGCATCCAAATAGTAGGAATAAGGAGCGCAGGAGAAGCTTCGGTGAGGGAAGTTCAGATGGGGTTGCAATGTGAGAACGGCTCCAAAAAGCCTGACAATCAGCACATTCCACTGGCCCGGGGTTTTTGAGCAGAAATATCACCCAGTGTCGGTGGACGCGGTCAGGCTGTGCATAAACAAAGACAGGGGGGATTTACAGTTCGGGCTGTTGTGTGTGACCACAGATACAAGGAGAGAGGAGTGTGTCCCCGTATCTGGTGTAGCGATATGCTTACAATGAAGAAGTTTTTCCTTTGAGTTTTCCGCGTCAAAAATGATCCCCATTCACACGGATATCCGTGAAAACGACTAAGGTAAAATTTGCTGCCAGGCCATTATGGCGATGATCGAACTCGTCGTAATGCGCATGTGCGCGACGTCATCGTCTTCAGAGATTCGCAGTTTTGTTGTTTACATACTTTTTCTGATACTATAGAGATTAAAAAAAAAAAAAAAAAACTTGCACTTTGAAACCCGTTTTTAAAAAATGTGTGTTTTCAGGCACCCAAAAAACGCTGTTGTCGTGTAACTTAACGGCCAAAACGCTTTAAAAAAAAACGTTTTTAGTTGAAACCGGTGTTGTGTAACAGTCAACAGTCCTCTGATTCAGCAAATGGAAAAATAACTTCTTCCTATTGTGTGTTTAGCTTCTTTTACTGTCTATGGTGAAACAAGCTCCGATTCTCTGTGGTCCTGCATGTTTGCAATGGCTGCGCTATCCTTCAGTTTTCCTTATAACGAGTATTTAAAGCAGCACTATGCAGTTTTTTTTTTATACCTTAACTTAATAGGGGATTGTCACGCTGACACTTCCGCATGTACTTCGCATTCAGTGATCTTTGCGGACTGCCACTTCCGTTGAATCACCGATCACTCTGGCGAACTGATGACGGAGGTTTATTTATATGCTGGTTTTAGTCTGATTCACTAAAGTGCCAGTGTCGTGCTGAAAATTGATGGCCGGTCGCAGCATCAGGAAGTGTCGCGTGATATCAGGTCTCGCGATGTAACAAATTGCTTTAGGGCAAGAAAGATCTGCTAAAATGAGCATCAAACAGAAAGAACCCGGCGCCGTATACATGTGGTGTTCGAGGCGCGTACAATACAGACTGCCGACAGTTCAACAGGGCGCACCTCTTAAAGGGGCCGCACCTTATTTCCACTCGTTACAGCTTCCATCCTACTAAACAGGTACCGGTATACAGGGGGAGGAGATCAGGCTGTGAGTGCAGAGACATGCGTGAATGCTATTTACGACAGTACAAGTACTCCACAGCGACTCTAGGGGTCGCAGTTTGACATAAACAGAAATTCTGCATAGTGTGGCTTTAATTGTTTCCAGTTTTGCATAAAGGGCAAAGCTTCAGTGTAACAAACAGAGCTCATAAATCACTGGACTTATGACGCACCATTATAGGATTTCAAGAATTGTGTGTGAATTTATCAGACATGCAGAAAGAACAAACTTTCACACATATTATCTTATTTAGCACATGAGAGGTGAAAAGGGCACAGCTGTTCCTGTATAATGGGGCTTTTTATCAACATCAGTGTTGTCTATGGTCACAAAATTTATTTAGTCCGTAAAATCAATGTCATGTCATCCAGCCAAATATATATATATATATATATATATGAAGAGTTCAGATGCAAAAGCCTCTAAATGCCATTTGCAATTTTCTTCTTTAATGATGATTTTTATCAAACTTGTATATTTAAGTTTAGTAATTTCACTTAAATAACAATTAATAGGTAATTATCATTGCAATTTAAGTGAAATCACTGAACTTAAATATACAAGCTTGATAAAAATGACCATTCTAGAAGGAAATTTCAAATGGCACTTAGAGGCTTTTGCATCTGAACTCTTCATATATATAATAGCAGTACTGTTTTCCTCATTTCAGTCAGTAAGTGCCTGTTTTCTGTATAGTCATTGTTCTCTCATTCTTCATCCTTAAATCCGGCTGTTCTCCCACCTGTGCCGTATGAGACCCCGTCTGCCTACACCGCACATATGATGTGCTCCACCTCATTCCTAGTGTTCCCAGAATTCCACAGCTGAAAATACCTCCCATTGTTCACCCTCTTCCTACAGTGTGCTGACTTCCCTCAGTCCTTCATGTGCAGCAGATTGATGTCACCATCTGCTCTTATGATCTAGTTTATTTAGTTTAAGTGGCTAAAATAACTTAAACAAAATAAACCAAAAGTAGCTAAACCGTAATTGAAAACTAGTGGCCAAAAGTAATTTCTTGACATTTTCACTCTTTATTAAAAAAAAACAAACTTTTTGTTGAAGATTTTGTATATATATTGCGTAGTAATGAAATGAAACGTGACAATTTTTGGCTGTCATACAAGGAAATTATGAACATGTGCAAAAACAAGAGCGAATCAACCAAATATTAATAGGAGCTTATGGTGTCGTCAGTGTATGCTTTTCTGCTTTTTGTTTTTTACGCACATTATTGTTTTGCATTGTAAAATAAAACCTGTAATTGTAGTTTGCCTTTTTTGCCAAATCATTTTCCCAGATAAATACCGTCCACGTTTTTTGTTCCTCATATTTAAAATATATAAAACTACCAAAAAATAAAAAGCACACAACAAAATGACTTTATGATTTAAAATGAAAATATAAAAATAAAATCTAATTCAATATATTAATAAAAACTATACTAGTAATAATAAAATAACACTGGTCAAATGTTTTATTTTTCCGCAATTCTTTTGTTTTAAAGTTTTTAAAAAGTTACAATGTTTTAATGTCACATTAAACTATATGTTTAAAAACAAACATTCATTCACATTTTTTCCTTTTTATAAATTATAAATTACAAAATGAATCGCAATAAAATTCAGTTAGGGCCAATTTGATCTCAGCATAAAACAGGCAGATATTTAACATGATAAAAGACAGACACCTTCAATATATATATATATATATATATATATATATATATATAATGTGTTCAGGTTACTTCATATTACCAACTCCTGTTTCTCCATCAAGGAAAAACATTATTTCATTAACATCAACCCTTAGCTCACTTTTCATTTCCCATGGATTATCTAAAAGCCACAAGAACAAGATTTGGACAGACTTTGATGGGAAACCCAAAGTAGATCCTACCGGGGTCAATTAGAGGTTTATAGGGTACTCTAGGTACAGGATTTTACATTTTTTCCCTTTTACATTCAGAAGTGACTTAATTCTTCATGGCACAGATTCAACAAAGATGCTGGAATCAGAGATTTTGCTCCATATTGTTCTGAAAGCATCACTTTTTTTTGGCACACATTGGCCCTCTTATTACCAATTGAGCATCCTTTAAACAACACAGCCATCCTGAGTATCGTTGCTAATCATGTCCATCCCTTTAAAGCGATACTCCACCGTTTTTTTCAAAATAAACTATGTTTTTCCCTTAACTAAGAGGAGGAGTTTCCCTATTTAAATACAGTTACACGTAACTCGACAAAGAATGGTGACACAAAATAAAACTCTGCGCTTTTCTAAGCGTGTAAAGTGGATAAGTACAGTATATTGTATGGCGGAATAGTATCACAGCAAGTGCTTGGTAGCACTTCGACTCGGCGCATATCTATGGACTCGGAGAGTGAGAGGGGGAGATGACTTTTCACGAGTGATGATATTACTACGCCGAGTCGGAGTGCTCCCAAGCACTTGCTGTGGTATTCCGCCATACAATATAGCGCAACGATTTATTTTGTGTCACCGTCGAGTTACACTACTCGAGTAACTGTATTTAAATAGGGAAAACGTCGCGGTGTTTGGTCGCTTCTCTGCTTGGCCCATATTGAATAAACTGGGCTAAGTGCTATCAAAATGTCTCGGTTTTATAGCTTCATTGCAATGCCTAAAATATTTCGTTTTTTCATAAACCACGCATCTTCATACGACTTCATCAAAGTCTCTGAACTGAGCAGTTAGCATTACAAAAGCAAACTATTTCCAAAGGCCACAAAAGCAGCTTTAGGTGCTTAATTCAGGGTGTGAGCCGTTACACGTCACTTTTTACACGTAGACCAACCAATAACCAGACAAATGCAGTAAAAGCTTGAAAGTCGACCTTTATTTATACTGTGAAAAAAGTAAACTTTATGAGCCTTTCAATAGATGCATCAGTATTGTTGTTAATACACTTATTACATCATAACACAATATAATTGTGATTTATAATTCTGGTATCAACTTTTTTTTGTGTGGAATAGTACAGATGACAATGTTTCAAATGATTGCCACAAGCAAATAAAACAAAAATCCAAACAAAAGCACAAACCTATAGCATCATACTGCAGTTGTCGGCATCATAGCTTCGGTTTGGACCGCATTATACCTAATATGAAGAACCGACGAGGGCGAGGTGAAAGTCTTGTGAACAATGTTTCACTTTTAATGACAAAAAGGGGGAAAACGAAATTCATGCACCAATCTTTTCATTAAAACAAAAGTATAAACAGTGCTACTGCATTATACTTGCATGAAGTAAAAAAGAAAGGTAATTAAAAAACAATGAAACACACAGAAGGCACTGGCTGTTATCTGAGGCAAAGTGATTTTTTTTTTTTCCGTTTTAATATTTTTGGTTTCATGCACAGTGTCCTGCTTGTAACAGAGGACACCTTGTCATATTCAAGTACCTTCCTTCAGGCATGGGGGTAATAAATTAAATGCTGTGAACTGCCCTGCAGTTGCAATATGTTTGACGATGAAATGCAAATGAAAACATGATGAATATCAACATACGTACAGTACAGCTGCGGAAAACAGAAAACATGGCAACAACTGACCTGACTTTGCATTTGCTTAGAGCTCTAACCTTTACAATGACCAAACTTGAAACCTGCCAAGAACATTAGATACACAAGAAAAAAAAAGAAAATGTTTTAGTTTGCTTAGAGAAAAAGAAGCCTGTCTTTAGGACCATTTAGGATGCCGCCATATTCTCATTACTGTAATGAAAACAAATAATAATAAAATAAATAACTGTATGGAATGATGATACATTTTAGTATTTATACAAAATTGTGATATTTCTTGTGCATCCTTTAATTTACGTTGATATAAATAAAAAAAGCAAATTACACATTGCTTAAATTTATTGCATAGAAAATATATTGCCTCGCACACCTAAATCATTAGGTGTGACTAATATTTACTTAATATAAAATTTAACTCGCTAATCATTGCTAATAAAATGCACTAATGATGCAAGTTTGAGTTTTTTTTTTCTTCGCAACATTACATAAACTTATTGTTATTGTACTACGATGCTGGCAATCTAATGAAGATCACAACTGGAAATAATGTCAATTATTTTTATTATTATTAATTTACAAAAAAAAAAAATTGTGGGGTGATATGTGCTTAATTGCAAAAACATGAACAGACAATTACAAAAAATAACGTAATTAGGCTACTTGAGGTTCCGACTAATGTTTATTGCTGCAGTCTATTTAAAATGTTTAATTAAAAATGTGTTGAATGAATGATTCAATGACTTCACTTGTTTGATTACTGGATGAATCAGCATTTTGATTTGTTTACAAATCTCTTGAACGAATGATTCAATGACAAATACATTTTTTAACAGTTATTTGTCACCACCTACTGGTGTAACAATGTAATCGATACAATCAATAATCGTAATCGCGTTTGAATCTTCCAGTGATTTTGTCAAAGGTTTAATATTTGTTACCTTGTGATTTAGGAATGAGATTGTGTGGGTGTTTGAATCGAGATCACAATCTTGTACATTAATCACAGCTCTGCCTAACGGTCCTTAAACTAGGTTTCATTTTCTTTATGCAAAAAATGAAAAAATGTATTTTTCATTTTGGGATGAAATCATAACCTGTGTCCAGTTGCATAAACTCTGCCACTATACGACTGTCTGACCAACTAGCAGTTTTCCAATGAGTAATCAGTCTTATTCTTCAGACTAAAATTAGTCTTAAAGAAAAAACAATGAGATTACTAACATGTAAGGAGACGTCTAAGTAGTAGCATTAGAAGCAGCCGGCCACAGGGCATGTTTTCATGAGATTCACCCAGAGAAAGATCTGGAATAGAGTTGAAAACATACTTTTGCACCTTCAAAAATCAGTCATAATTCCAGCAACCGAGTGATTTGAGACAAATCCTGCACACCAGTTTTACCTAAACCAAAAATCTTGTGACATACTAATGCCGGGTTCAGACTACACAGTGTTACAATAGTCACCGCGTCTGATAAATGACAAGCAAGCAGTGACGGGAAGCACACGTTCAATCATCGTTTACCGTCTTTAACGATGAGTGATGTCATCAAGATGGCAGAACTAGTGATTTACTTCAGCGTAAACAAACGAAGACTGTGGAGGACCAAACTAATTTAAACATTAGTCTTTCTGTCAGGACGTTGCGGCATCAGTTCTCATCCACTAACTTACATCGGTTCCCAGAACAGGCCCACAAGGAGGCCTCAGCGAGCTCTGTGGGGGGTTGCGTCATATTTTGAAAGGTTTTGAGCAATGAGCATTAAATAAAAGTCCAAAATTCATCAATCCGTCTTTTCGTCTGATCCTGAACCACTGTGGTACACCTATAATACGTGTTTACATTGGGACTATTTTACACTGGTTCAGATCGCTGCCGCTGCGGAGTAGCCCAGTACCTGCGTGACTCGTCATAGACGTACACAGAGAGAAGTAGTTCCGGCTACAATGTTCTTCCGAAAGACGCTGAAGCGCCAAAAACGTAAAAAATAAAATAAAATAAAGCCTCGCATTGATAAAGCCTCGCAAATAACTAGCAAGTATCGAGGCCACAGACAGCTGTCATTTAGTAATAGCCTATTTTCTTTCTTTTCTTTTTTTTACCTACACACCAGTGTGAATATTTGTTGTTTTAATTTCAAATAGGGACAATGTATTGTACAGACTTATCCTAGGCTTCGTTCTTAAAATTAGAATGTTTTGTTATATTGTATTTTCAATATTATAGGCTACTATTTATGCATAAACATAGCTGGTTAGCCTTAGCCTAAAAACATACCGTTTGTTTGAAAACAACACATTTTGTCATTCTTGTCGCTAGCGATAATATAATTAAATGTGAAGGGGGACCCTAAAATGTTTTCTTGGGAGAGGAGGGGGACAATAAAAGGTTGGGAACCACTGCACTATGATGACACACTATTGGAGATTGATTCTTGCGGTCCGGGACCCGTTTTTGTATACCAATCACCACAACACACATTCATCAAATGGTTTGTGCCAAAATCGGGCTGATATTGTGTAGTCTGAACCAGGAATAAGACATTAATTGCGATACTACAGTAAAAAAAAATGCCTTTACACATTCATCACTTGCATTCATCCAGGCTATGATATATTTCCCTTTGGCCACATGGACTCGGACCTTCGCACAGGGTCAGAGACTCACCTGAGAGAACCTGCAACTCGACAACTGACTCAACATAAAAAAATAAAATCAAAACTAATTAAATGAAGAGGCACAGGATGCTGCACAATATAACATAGCATCTAATACTGGTTATTTTGGGCATGATATGGAAAGCTCACTTTGGTTTAATGGGAATAATTACGATGATTCGTCCAGCCTCAATAAAAAGGAGCACTTCAGTCGTTCTAAAGCTAAAAACGGTCCCTCTTAATCTGCGTATGGAAAACTCAGTAGTTGAATTTTTTGTCACGACTTTTTGCTTTTTTTTTTTTTTTGCTGTCCAGCAACAAACTACACACCACATCCATCTAATCGAACCTGACCGATAAATACCACGTGCGTTTTTTTGGCGAGAGGAGCATTTTGTTTGGCTGTAGGGATGAATTGCACTGGAGGCTGGATCTTTCTCTCATGGCCTGCCGTCGAGGCTGGGCGGGGCCCGTGACGGAGGGGGACAGGGGGGTCCGGGTGGGACTCGGGCGGGTGGGGGACCCGGTGGAGATTGGGTTAGGGGTGGTCCTCTCGGAGGAGGGCTGTTGGGCGGAGAGGACACTGGACTGGGAGCCGGATGATAGTCTGGTGGAGGTGGAGGTGGGCTCTGAGCTCGCGGAGGAGCTTTAGCTGCCGCCGCCGCCTCCTCCTTCACTCGTGTAAAGTTGATACACCGACCCTGAGGAGAGAACAACAAGAGAAACGACGTGAGGCAATCTGCTCTGTTGAAGGTGGCCACTTTCCAATACGCAAGCATTGCTTCGTCCTATTTTCCAGAATGACACCCAGAGTCGTTCTTGCTTTGGCTCTCTGCTCACACAAGATCTCGCAGCGCTGTGAAAACCACAGATGAAATCACCCACAGTTGTAAATTATGCATCATGGAAAGTCACCAAAGCACTCTCTCTCTGTCTCTCTCTCTCTAAAAAAAAAAAAACCATCATGCTTTTTTTAAACAGAATAGTCATCTAAATATATATTTAATATGCTTTACATCGATTATATAATTCAATTAAACATGAAATCAGGAATTATTATCATTTACAAAAAAAAAAAAAAAACTCTGAAAATGTTAAAAATATTTCTATTAATTGAAATTAACCTGAAATAAATATTAGTTAAGAATTTAAAATTATTAACAGGAAATAAAAACTAATAAGAAACTAAAACAGAAAAATAATAACTTAAATAGCTATATATATATATATATATATATATATATATATATATATATATTAGGGCTGTGCAAAAGTTAATTGCGATTAATCGCATCCAAAATAAAAGTCTGTTTTACATAACATATTTGACTGTGCTGTATATAATTATTTTGTATATATAAATACCTATGCATGCATGTATATATTTAAGAATTATTTGCGCTTAAATTCTGTATATATATATATAAATATTTTATATAGGAATAACACATTTTCTTATATATATACATGCATGTGTGTGTATTTATATATACAAAATAATTATATACAGCACACACAAATATATTATGTAAACACAGCCTTTTATTTTGGATGCGATTAATCGCAATTAACTTTTGCACAGCCCTAATATATATATATAAATAAATGAAAAAAGCACATAACAAAAATGCTAAAAATTAAGATAAAATTAACATTTGAAATCTAAAAGCATAAAAATAAAATAAATTTTTTAATAAAACTATTTCATATTTGCACATTTACTTTCTTAATAAATATTCAAAATCTTACTGTGCACAAATCAACAGTTAACCACCTTGTGTACATTTAAAAATTCTTGACATTATTTATAACATATTATATTTAAAACTACATTGAAATTATATAATATGAAATCAGAATAGAGAACTTTAAATTATCTGTTTACTGTCTTTTCCTTTCATAATGTGATGTATAGTATTATATTTACTATCTACCTATCTATATTTAATACTATGTTCATAAATAATATAGGATAACTGAAAGCAAAGATGAAATCAAAACTAAATATTCCTGGACTAAATATACAACTGGGCAATTTCTTTTCTTTTCATATGCACTACAATTAATTCAATTAAAATCTATTTTGATTCTAGGGCGGTCAAGCGATTAATCGCATCCAAAATAAAAGTTTGTGTTTACATAATATATGTGGGTGCACTGTGTATAATTATTTTATATATATATATAAATACACACACATGCATGTATATTTAAGAAAAATATTATTTATATATAAAATATGTATATTTATATTTAATATAAATTATATATTAATCTGTATATACATGAAAATATTTCTTAAATATATAAAAGCATGTGTGTGTATTTATATATATAAAATAATTATTAACAGTGCACCCACATATATTATGTAAACACAAACTTTTATTTTGGATGCGATTAATTGCGATTAATCGTTTGACAGCCCTATTTGATTCAATTAATATTTCTGGTCTTAGATTACATGATTCAATCTGCTTTTAAGCAAAAATAAAACAAAAACAACAACAGACAAAAAAATATATATACATGATACTATGACATCAATCAATTTTTGATTTACTTATTTACTTTAAAAATTATTTCTGGTCTTATTGTGTATGAATCTTATGTGCGTGTTATATTATTATAAAAAATGTTTTGGTTGACATCATCAAACTGTTAGTTATAACCCATCTCCTTATATAGAGACGCCTTTTCAACATCCAATCAACTCCTGATGGATAAACTCAACTGTTTGGTTTCATCACACGTCACATTATGAAAGTAAAATGAGTTGACCTTAACGTCAAATCCCATTTAAGCCTGCATAATGACAGGTGAAGTAGGTGTTTTGAAGGATGTTTGTTGTAATAGTCCTTCCCTCGTGGCAAAGCAACAAATATGCCAGAGGAAAATGACCTCCTGACACAACTTTAATTATAGCCGGGTCATAAAGCAGTCTGAAGTCAGTCTCAAGACCGCGCCGTAGATGTTTGATGTGGCCGTTTTATTCATGACCTCATCCTCAAACCTCCACCAGAGCGAGGGTGTAAAGTGAGTGCTGTGCAAAACTGAGGTTTCACGTCAGAGCTGATGGGACAGCCAGTGGAAAGCTGATCCTTGTGCATTATGGGATTGAAGACAGAGGCATGAGGAAGAGAGCTTAACCAGGGCACAGATGAGAAAAACAGATCGGGGAGAGATAATGATACACTATAGACGTCAGACAAACATGCACACATACTCCGAAACCAACCAAAAGAATTCAATCGAAACAACATGTTTCCACACTAG